GTCAGCATCGATGGATTCAGCAATGTTTGGATGTTTGAAGTAAAACAGTTCAGACCTGACAAGTGAAATGCACTCTGTTGCATTTTTTTTAAGACATCAGTGTATTGTTGTCAAATGAATAGTGATAGTTTTGTAAAAACAAACAGACCCATGTCAAAAGAATGTCTGGTTATTTTTCTTATATTTACACTGAACCTCAAATAATACCATGAACTCATTTGAACTTTGCCTTCTCTTTGTAGTTTGTTGGGACAGACAGTATTCTTCTTGTGCATGGTTTTAGATTTCTCCCAATTGCTTTGGAATTAAACATCAGTATGCTTCAGTTAAAACCATGATTTTTCTTCAATTTCCCATGCAGATAATAAACTCCCACCAGTTTTAGTTCACACATAGTTCTAATGGGACTCATTTAGGAGCTTTAGCATTACAAGAATATGCATGTGCATGCTCATCCAATCAGTCTGAGCCCATTCAATCTTTTGGGGTTCTGCCCTATAAAAAGACAGAGGCAACAAGACTCCTCTATGCATTTAGGACTATCCGGGGTGCAGGGGCTTAATCCACTATTTTAGGATACACAGCAGAGTGCTTTATACAGGCAGTGTGGGGAAAGAGGTGTTGATCCAGTGATTTCCTCATTAGATTCAGTTTTCTTGTTTCTATGTCGGAAGCTTAAGGAGGGGTTGGAAAAAGTTCACTTTTTGGTCACACTCTCCTAAAATATTATCCGCTATCGAAAGAAAAACATCCGTTGATATATTCCTCTACCCCTCAATGGGATTTGCTTTTCATTCCTCAGGCAGTAAGAACACTTGTGAACCCAGATTTTCAAGGAAGCCTCTCTTAAATGTTTGTCACAAAGTCTGAGAGAGTTACTTAAGTATTTTTTTTTGTTTCTTTTTCACATATCTTTTATTAGAAAGAGCTCTGACTCATATCTCTTCCAGACAAAAACATGCATCACTCTTTTTGAATACATTTGATATTTGCAAATCTATGTTCAGACAGGTACATTAGAGAATTATAATGACCCCAGGAAGGTTGCCTGACCAAAGCTTAGCCTTCAATAAATGTAAAGTGTTCACAGTGTTACAGGAGCTGATACAGTTAGTTAGAGTTAATTCAGGTCAATAATGAATCAACTGGATGTCTTTTAGCCTCCCCCACATGAGGAGAAAAGCAAGGGGAGGTTGCATTGCTCTTGTGTCTCTCATTTTGTCATCATGTGGAATGCATGACTTAGTGGAGACACATACAACAAAAATGGACGGTCTAATGATACCAATGTAGTGTTGTCAGGAATGGATTTCCTTCCTGTTTATGTGTGTGTGTGTGTGTGTGTGTGTGTGTGTGTGTGTGTGTGTGTGTGTGTGTGTGTGTGTGTGTGTGTGTGTGTGTGTGTGTGTGTGTGTGTGTGTGTGTGTGTGTGTGTGTGTGTGTGTGTGTGTGTGTGTGTGTGTGTGTGTGTGTGTTATTACATAGGTCATTGAGGAGTCCCCTGGAGCCTACAGGTGGGTGAGCAGTGGTGTAAAAACAGGGCAGAAGCAGCATTATTTTGCATGTCAATTCAATTTAATATTTAATAATCCATTCGTTACACAATTAATGTATATATAATATCCTGCTTTATATTTTGTGACTGTAAATTTGTATTTCCACATGTATATTTTTTTACTTTTTAATGCTATTTTATCTCAGAAATATTTTGGATTGTTTATTTCTAGTGTCTTAATTTCTCTTACTGTATGTACATTGCCTTGTCTTTTTATGCTGCTGCAACGCCAAAAAAATCCCAAATTGGGATCAATAAAGTACTATCTTATCTTATCTTATCATTAGAAAGGCATAGGGAGAGAGCTAGAGCACCAGATATAGGAGAATGTGTTTGGTTTGTTGTTAGAGGGGGTAGGGCATGTCACATGTATCATTGGTACTCGAGTTGACTGTCTGAAGCAGCTCGCAGGCTTTGCTCCAGTTGGGTTTTAGCCTTTTCCTCTGGACAAAGTATTCTGTCTTAATCAGAGCTTGGGTAAACTGGAATTTTGTTGCACCTAAAACACAGTTTACAAAAATATCTGTGAATGTGTGGCCTGTTCCTGGATCCAGCCACTCATATATTGTGTGAAGTCTACATCACTGGACGGTTTAATTTCATAACAAGATTAAATTAAATCACAAATGTATAGGAAGGGAATTATATTAAAGTCAAACACAATGTAAAGATGTCAGAGATCTGCTCCGTTCTAACTTCTTAGCAGCTTACCGTATACTCAGTCGAAATGTGTGTGCCAGTGCATTCAACCTGCGTCACCAACATTGTTACCTGGCAACAGTGTTAACCACCCGCATTAGGATATTAAGAATTTGACAACACACCAGACATTGCAAAAAATAAGTGAAGGCATGGAGGTTCATGTGTTAATACGGTCTGAGATGCATGGCTAATAAAAAGAGCCATAACAAACTTAAAGAGAACAGCATGAGCATTTATTGAGTCCCACAAAAAGGCTTCTGTTTTAAATATTTCATCTGTTGCTTAGTATGAATAAATAACTTGTTTTTAGATGTATCGCTATTGACAACCAACTCTGTATTTTTTCAGAGATGCAGCCTCTTTCTTGTTCATGGATCATGTGGCTGCTTAGTTTTAATAGGAGAGATGAGATCCTCTGCTTCTCTGTCTGCTTAACTTCCCCTCTCCCCCCCTCCGTCGGCCAGAAGAAAGCACTGTATTAGAATGATGGAGCATCAGCATTCTCTAGAGGCCAATGAAGAGCATAACATATTCTTCATAGAAACATTCATCTTTCTCTCTGTCTGATCTTCCTCATGTCTGCTTCCTTTCCATGCAGGATGCAAGAAGAATATGTATTGCCAAATCCAGCCTTTTGCAGGCTGTTCTATTTTAAGCATCTGACTTATATTTAAAGGAATGGCTGCTATGATGTAAGGTGTGATGTAACAAAAGGAGACAACCTGCTTTATAGGGAGGTTTCAAGGAAGGAATCACTTTGGCACACCTTAGGGGTATCACAGTACCCCTAAGGTGTGTTTTCTTGCCTAAGAAAACACGTTAGACAACTCAGTTTGTTTTTCCACATTTTCCTGTTCTAAAGTGCACCATGTGTATCTTTGTTTGCCTGTTTGCTTGCTCTGCCCGTATTTGTTGCAATAATGGCGGACCACAAGGGTGTGTCAGCATATTCCTACGAAACTAGAGACAACACATTTAAACAAACAAGTAATGAAAACTCCCCAACAGGTCTAACACCCCTCCCTCCTGTGGAATGTATGGGATTGTTTCCCAGGAAGACTTGTCTTTTATCTATATGTCCTACAGGGATCAGCTGTTATGTGTTCATTTTGCTTTTGCTGCATGTGTGGAAGGGCTGGGAAGAAGTATGTACAACTGGAATTAGAATATGATCTCATGGGGGGTTTTTGGGAGTGTTTTTGTTTGATATGTGTTATCAGTAGGCCCATTGCAAGTCTGCATTTAAAAAAAACGATTTACTGTAATTCCCCCTGTATTTTATTTCCCTTTTCATTCCATGCCATTGTTTCGTTTTTCTAAGTTTCATTTTGAGTAGCACTTTCTTTTTATGCATCCCAGTGCACAATAGAAAGGTAAGTACATGGACGTAGGTTTTACTTAGTGGGAGATTATTGTTAAAAGGCCTAAAACCAACAAAGAGCAAAGTGTTCACGTGTCCTCACCCTTTCATTCAGACTCGAGTCACATATGAGATTACTTTACTAGACCAAATCCAAACAGACTTGTTAATCAACTAGCACTTTAACACCAAAGACTCAAGACTTCCCATGGACTTCTGCCTTTTAAATTGAAAATATTTGAACCCCCCCAAAGATCAAGCAAGATTATAAAATGCTATTTTTGTTGCATTTGTGCCTTTTTAAGAGTACACTGAACACATTGGAGAGAGAGAGACTTTCTGACAAGTTGCACAAAACTCCAGCCAGTCTGAATTAAATATTTCCCCAAATGTAAAAGCACACATCCTTAATTTGACCACATAGCAGACATCCACAACATGTTAACCCTGTTAGTAGAGCACATAGAGAGCAGAAGAATATGTTTTTAACAGCCAGAATCTGAGGAGCAGTGAGTGACCAAATCAAACACATACACATACTGTTATACACATTACACTAATGTTATTTTTACGATTATATTTGTGATGTGGCTGATGATATCCCTCAGTTATGTTCAGCTTTTTTCCTTGATTTTTCAGTTCCATAATATTGTTAACATGATTGATTCATATTTCTCTGTTGTATCACTATGTTTTTGATATAGTCATGTCAAAAAAACTTTTCCTTGAATTGTATTTGAATTTGAGAGAGAGCATGATATGTATTAAAGGCCCCAGGGCTGGGATTGAACCCTTAAAAGTTGGTGTTAAATCACATGCTACGTAACCACCAAATACAATTGAATGGTTTCCCTTCCTGATTCAACGTTAACACTCTTTACTCCCAGCCAGTCAACAACATTGATTCACTTTGTTTCAATCTGACAGCATCCAATCAAAATGCAGTAGAGAACCATGAAGAACTTATACAAATAAATGGTACACAAAAGATAATGCGCTAAGCTATGCCTTCGTCAACAAATTGCAGTTTGTGGGGGTTGGCAACAGGTGCACTGATCTTTTTGGGACTCAACACAAAATGTTTAGGCCTGGGGACTTGACCTGGGACTTCATTTACTTACTATTTACATACTTTGACTTGAACGAAAAACCAGATCAAGCAGGTGTGTCTGATTAGCCATCTGCCTTTATCTTCACTTCTCGTTTGTTCGATATAATCACTTGAATCTGCATTATTTCCGACTATCTGGGTCAACTGTTTCTCTTTCCTTTCTCTTTTACTTCCCTCTCTTTAGAAAGAAGTCCATGGGCAGTTCTGCTCATTCCAAAATAAGTCCTGTAAGTGTGTGCGATTATGTATGTGTCAGTTAATGATGCTCCACCCATGCCTCCCATACCTGACTCCTCCAGCAGGTCCACACCTCAAAGCCAATCCCTTCAAAAACATCCAGGTGCTACAGAGTCAGTAACATCGTCACAAGGCCTGCAGAGACACACTCACTTCCCAGGAAGGACATTTCTCTTTTACACTGCTCCTCGTGTCCAAGGTAAGGGGCTTTGTCTGTATTAGGAACACATGTTAGATCAAGAGAATAGATGTAATGTAGATACATTTCAGTTTGATATCAGATTAATACTACAAAGAGGACAAGAGATAGTGTAAGGAAAGGGGACAGTAAAAGGGCAAGGATATTCTCCATTATAAGTGAAGATCTTGTATGTCAGAAAAAAGAAGCTCAGTCGTGGTGCATACAAAAGAATGATATTTGCAAAGACAGATAACTTGGAAGCGTTGGGAATAAAAATATACGTGCTTTTGCTTTACTCCTCGGGCTGATACGTGTTACCTTGGAAAATTGAATAAAATCAGGTTGGAGGTAAAAAGGCGCGATGTGCGAATGACAAAGATATGCACTGCTTGATAGAAGAAAAAGAGACAGAAATAAAGACTAACAAGAGAACTTCAACCCCGCCTTGTTAGCCGGGAGCATTGACTCATACAGACAAAGGGAACTTGGTGGATGGAAAAGTATTTGCAAATATATGCTCAACCTGTAGAACAAGTCTCAGCTAAAGATCTTTCACTGTGTCAGATAAGGTGTCTGTGTACTGTACACAGGGAGTAGGAGGCTGTCATGGAGATTTGCACTGAGGATCAAGTTTAAACAATTACGTGTAAAAGGGGAATTTCTAACCGTAGCTGCCAATTATATGGCACCTGTTCACTCCTGATTCTTAATAAAGCCACTAGTATGGCAAGTCGATTTAGCTTTTATTCATTTCTGGAGGATATCAAAAAATCTATTCCGACTAGTTAATGCGAATTCTTGATATCAAAAATGAAATTCTTACTAGTAATAATGTTTATTTCTGATATCAAAAATAGAATTTTAACTAGTTAGAATGCAAATTCTTGATATCAGAAATTCAATTGTAACTAGTTGTAATGTGTATTCTTGATATCAGAAATATGATTTTAACTCGTGAGATTTGCATCGTTTTTCTGATTTATTTCAATGGGAGTTGGAATTTGAACTAGTTCAAATTCCAATTTCTGATATCAGTAATTCAATTGTTGATATCAGAAATACAATTTCAACTAGTCGAAATGCCAATTGTTGATATCAGAAATACAATTTGAACTAGTTCAAAATCCTTTTTTGATATCAGGAATTCAACTGTAACTAGTTATAAATAAAAATTGAATTATAACTAGTAACAATTGAATTCCTGATATCAAAAAAGGATTTTGAACTAGTTCAAATTGTATTTCTGATATCAACAATTGGCATTTCGACTAGTTCAAATTGAATTCCTGATATGAAAAAAGGATTTTGAACTTGTTCAAATTGTATTTCTGACATCAACAATTGGCATTTCGACTAGTTGAAATTGAATTCTTGATATCAAAAATTGGTATTTTTACTAGTTCAAATTTAATTGCAACAAGTAACAATTGAATTACTGATATCAGAAATTGGCATTTGAACTAGTTCAAATTCCAACTCCCATTGAAATGAATGAGAAAACGATGCAAATCTCACTAGTTAAAATCGCATTTCTGATATCAGAAATACACATTACAACTAGTTACAATTTAATTTCTGATATCAAGAATTTGCATTCTAACTAGTTAAAATTCAATTTTTGATATCAAGAATTTGCATTCTTACTAGTAAGAATTGATTTTTTGATATCCTCCAGAAATGAATAAAAGCTAAATCGGCTTGCCATACACTAGTGCTGTATTTGCATCACTCTAAGTAGGAATATTGGAATAAAATGCATCACATAACCTGAGGTTTTCAGCCGAGAAAGAACGATATGTCTCGTCTGTCACAACAAAGAGAAAGACAAACACACGGCAAAGAGATAGACGAGGCCGGCAACATTGCAATCTAGAGCAAATAGGAAAACAAATTGTGGTCCAGCGTTGCCATCTCTCTGAGACAAGATATACTGTTGACTCTGAAGTTGTTGTTTTTTTTTATCCTAACTGAATGTCACCTCAAAGTTTGTGTATGTGTGCATTCGGTATGAAATTGGAAGATAAATCGAGCTGATAAATCACATGTTCTATACGCAAAAGCAATGCATGATTCGCACCGGTTGTATTCTTTATTTAGAAGGAGAGGTAAAGTGCAGGTAAAGTCAGCAGTGATTGAACATGTTGTGATTCATTGAGTCAAATCGTTTTTTTGCTGTGTCATTTAATAGTCAAGAATGCTGAATGAGAGAGAAAAGAGCATCTGATTTGACAGCTCAATATTTTCACAGCGATGGCGAAAAAGCAGAGGCAAAGTGTTTCTGAATTCAAACACTCTGGATTAGATGAGACAGAAGTGAAATGGAACAGTGGACAGCGAGACTGTTATCCAACTTGTTCACTGTGAGCATTCATCAGAATGAGATGTAGATGTATTATACGAGAAGCACTTTTTTTCTCAGTAGCTGAAAATAAATCTTTGAGAAATCTTAGCCCTTATCTGACAGAACAGAAACTCCCTGTGTTTACAGTTACACAACCAAATCAGATATGTATTTCAAATAAGTTTTCCCCCCTCATTCAACACGAATCTCTTTAAACACACGCACACCTACATGCAAACTCTTCTTCATTTGCACAAAACCGAACCCCAGAGGAAGAGAAAAACACACATGCAGCCAAACAACTCTGACAGCACGCCCACACACAAAGAAACACAGAAACCCAATACAGGTTTCCATAACAGCGGCATGTTTAAAGTCTGCACACGATCAGACCATTAAATCCACATAGTGATATTTTGAATAAATGTCCCTCTCTTTCTCAGAGCACGGGTCCTGCGGTACGATTAAGGCGTGCTTAACATTCACAAATTAAATGCTATCCCTTTACAGGCCTTTGAAGAATCAAGGCCGCAAAAGGAATTTGGGATTAGAGAGATGGCTGCGGCCGTCTGATCAGACACACTGAACAAATATCTGTCTAATGGAGCTGGGAGTATTGGTTTGTCTTTTCAGGAAAGGGAGGCTCCGACTCATTCATTGATGTATAATGAGTCAGTACTGAAGCGGTTGCTCTTTGTAAATACGGATCTGCTGTGACTTGGAAAATGTATGTGAAAATCATGGCAGGTGGTTTTGTTGCCTCCACTAGTAATCCTGCTGACAAACAGAAAGACAATTATTTCAAACCTCAATCATGACTTCCTTGGCCGGGGTAATTCAAAATAAAGTTAAATTGACCTGAAAATGGAAATTGTATCGTATGATATGATCAGAAAATCTAAATTATTAAGTGGTGTCTTTTTGTCAAATGTGAAATCAACGACAATTGGTTTTGCAAATCCTATGCGTAAATACATTATCAATAAAGCCACTGAAAATGTGCAAATCATTAAATGGGCTTTCCACAAACATTACACATCAAGTTCAGTTCCCATGCATGTACAGTACAACTTAAAACCCTCCTGTTGTCTTCGGGTCAAATCTGACCGATTTACTACTGTCATCAATCATAACTTTTTAGTTTTACATTCGATTGCATTAAGGCTTTATGATATCCTTCACAGTAGACATTTGAACATATAAAATTGCTGACCACCACTTTCATTGAATTTTGGATGATTTAGTCAACTTTGTAACACCCATGGTGTACCGCCATAAAGAAAAGGAATTAGTAACCATCCGGATCAGATAAAACACCCACACACACACACACACACACACACACACACATACTCTAGATGTGTTCCCCCCCTTATGTGCCCAATCCCCCCATGTGAATCACACCTGGCACACACAAACACACACACACACAGAACAATTTGACACATTTCCCGCTCTTATGTGCCCATCCCCCCACATGGATCACACCTGACACACGCAATACATGTTCAGTGTCTATTCTTTGTCTATTCTTTTTTTTCATGTATACCAGTAGTCTGATACAATATTTACAGTTGGAAAGGGTGTTAAATTAAATTTGGTGATGATTAATGGTTTTTGTGTTAATGTAATAGCAGTTAAAACAGGACCGGTCAAATTTGACCGCGAACACCAAAGTAAGGGGGGGGAAATGAAGACAATAGGAGGGTTACACTTTAAAATCTGTTTTATGGCATCTCCTTTGCTCTGGAGGAGACAACACCTACACATTTATAACAGAAACTGAGTGGACTTTAAAAGCTGGGTGCGTTTCCAGGCAGGGAAAATATAACAAAAGGAACTACCGTGTTGACTTATGGATAGTGGCTCTGGTTTTTTGACCCAATGTTAGGGATGTGAAGAGATCTCAGCTACTAGATCAAGTGTCACCGTTTATAAAAAAAAATCCATCTAAAGCTTTAATCTACTTTGTCTTTCTTCTATTTAGACCATCAATAAGTTCATCGTACCTGCTCTTCTGAGGAGCTTCTTCATCTCCCTCAGCCTCCTCCATCCCCTGCTCCACCTCGAAGGCAGCAGTCATGAACTGGTCTGCGTTGGAGGCCCTCATCAGCGGGGTCAACAAATACTCCACCGTGTTCGGCCGTGTCTGGCTCTCCGTGGTCTTTGTCTTCAGGGTGATGGTGTACGTGGTGGCGGCTCAGCGAGTGTGGGGTGACGAGAACAAGGACTTTGTCTGCAACACGGCCCAACCGGGCTGCACCAACGTGTGCTACGACCACTTCTTCCCCATCTCCCACATCCGCCTGTGGGCCCTGCAGCTCATCTTCGTCACATGCCCGTCCCTGATGGTTGTTGGGCACGTCAAGTATCGCGAGAAGAAGGACGCGGCGTTCACCCACTCACACAAAGGCACCCATCTGTACGCCAACCCTGGGAAGAAACGTGGGGGACTGTGGTGGACGTATGTGGTAAGACCTGAGGACATGTGTTTTTCTTGCCTTGCTGTAGACGTCACATGCCACAAAAACAACAACAAACAACAGCCACAGATGAATTCAGGCCTTAACTAAACTGAAATTAGTCGTTGTTAGAAATGCCAAAAATAATCGTCATAGATAAGCTTCTATTTACGCCAGAAATTGGTGTAATTATACATCACTCGTTTTCTCCTGATCAACAGAAAAACAGTTTGACAGCTTCTTCTGCAGCCCAACGTCAGAAACAAGTTTCCCCATTCTTCCACACTAAATAGATCGATATGTACTTTATTGATCCCAATTTGGGAAATGTTTGTGTTGCAGCATCATAAAAAACAAGGCAATGTACATAAGAGAAATTAAGACACTAGAAATAAACAGTCCAAAATATTTCTGAAATAGAAATAAAATATTTATTGAATTACTGCTAGAGTTTTGATCTGAAAAGTTGTAAATGTTCATCTTTATAGGTCATGCTGCATTGTTTTTCGAAAGTTATAATCATCTGTAGACCAGTAGTGACTAAGACATCCCCTGGATATTCTCATTGGATGGATGGACAGGAATATAGATTGTTGCCTCATTTGACTTCCAGAAATGTCTGTGTACTAATTTAACCTTAATTTATTTTATCATAGGTCAGTCTGATTTTCAAGGCAGGCTTTGACACTGGCTTCCTCTACATCCTGTACTACGTCTACGAAGGCTACGACATGCCCCGCCTGTCCAAGTGCTCCCTGGAGCCGTGCCCCAACACGGTGGACTGCTACATATCCCGTCCCACTGAGAAGAAGATTTTCACAATCTTCATGGTTGTCTCCTCTGCTTTGTGCATCCTGATGTGCATCTGTGAGATGGTTTACCTCATCTACAAACGCATCCAAAAAATCTTTAAGAAAAAATACGAGGCAAACAAGAGGATGTTCGTAGAGAATCACGAATTGACGCCACTGGCAAAGCCCAGGTCAGAGTTTATGTCCAAGAGTTCAATCAGAGTGGATCCTACAGCCTCCGTCCAAAACCTCACTAACATGAAGTCTGAAGAAGAGACGTCTAAGAAAATGTAATGTGCTTTTTGTTTGTTTTTTATATATATCTGTTGTAACTTATTGTCGTTTATTGTGATTGTAGTAATGTGTTTTTATTACATGTACAGCACTTTGGCTCGACCAAAAATCGCTTTTAAATGTGCTATATAAATAAAACCTGATTTGATTTGATTTGATGGGAAAGGCCTTGTTGAAAAACTGTGCAACGTACTGAAGGGGACGCTGGAAGCAAATGCATTCATCAGACTCCATGGAGAACGGCTGCTCTACACCAAAGAGATATCCATCGATTCATGGATTTCTGAAGCAGCTCTTTGTAAATATTATCATGCCTGCAGGAAAGCACATGTAATGCATGCAAATGAACCCCTAACAAAGGTGGATACGGAGGAAGATAAAGGGTAAAGAATATGCTTTGGATTTGGTTTATGTGTGTATGAGTGTGTGGATGTCTGTATCTGTGTTTTTTGTGTACTGTATGTAGTGTCCGCTAGAAGTATGTTTATGCTATTATATTAGGGTTCTTTGTATATGATATATATGTTGTTGGACCCCAAGTTTTGTTCACACTATATCAAGAGCAATACATTTTCCTGAAAAAAAAACACACTGCCCCCTATTGCATAAAACAAGATAAAGCACCAAAGCACTTACTTCAGGGGTGGAACAGTAATCGGCACAAGTCACTTTTTTTATTTCAGAAACACAATATGAAGAAAATGTTCTTTATTTTGTCGAGAGTCGGTTTAAATCATGTGGACATTTTGTGTTTAATTCAGAATTAATTAATGAACGTGTGATACAACACATTCATTCCACTGAAAAATTATACTTAAGAAAATGAAAACGAACATTGAATAACACAGAAAGCCTGATATATTGTATTTGTTGTATTTATTGTTGTGAAACTATAAAGCTATACCACTGTTAACAGTGTCCTTTGTTCTTTTTGAAACTCATTTTACAATTATAATCCATTTCCTGTAACTGTGTTTGAGGGCATCTTAAAACTGGAGTGAAATTCATTAGCCACATAACATATGTGGCTAACTGATTCAGATGTCTAGCTTTAAATGTATATCTGACTGTAAATATACTGTGGAAAAAACACAAGATAGAAGTGCATCATGAAGTACCTCAGAGAGACATTTGTGTAAAAGTCAAGATATTTGGCAGAGGTTTAAGTCACTTATTAGAATATTACTTGAGTAAAAGTGTTAGAGTATTTGATATTGATTATTGGTATGTCAAAACTCAATGAGACTAGTTACTGTAGCAACCCTAGGATTAGGAATCAAAAGTTATATTCTGATTGGATGTAAAGCTAAATACTGTTATATTTTTAAAATAGAAACCATTGAAATAATATGACAGCTAAGTATTAAAAATGGTGCCATAAAACAGTGCATTGTGCATTGATTAATTATAGGAATAGTAAGACATTGATTGAAATAAATTCCGAAAATACTGTTACAAACTCAAGTAGACTCAGTAAACCCAGTATCTGTTATATAATGACACTGAGTGTGAGTGACTAGCTCACTAAGTATTGGGGCAGTGTTCATGAGAGCAAAAATAGAATAACTTTGCCGATGGCTCTGGGAACAGTGATTCAGAGGCTACTTATTTGTCCTGTCGTCATCCCTTTTCCACTCTATTATCCAATCAGGAGCCGTTGACGCGGGCTGTTTTGTGACGGACGTGCAAATTGACCAATAGTGAGCCTGAGTCTTTTTTTACGTCCACGCCCTTAGCCGGACAGCTCTGCATCCGCCTTCTCTGCTAACCTTGTTGAAGGAAGTAAAGTCTGTCAAACATGAGTTTTCACTACGGCCAGGTATCTAAATACTTTACTCTATGTTAATTATACCAACATGTTAATATTGTGGAATAACTGTATTATCTGTTGTATTCCCTTAATGTAACGTAACTAATACTAACTAACGCAACGTTAGCCATTCATTGGTTTGCTACTGTATGGATAGGAGTAAACGATGTAAACTGTTGCTACTTGTTAATAACATTTAGTAGTTTGTGTAGCTGTGCGTTTTATATTTAACATTGCTGGAGTTGTAGTAAGCGTTAAACAATACGTTTTAGCTATTATAGTGCTCTCGTTTTATCTGAGACTTGGTTATCTCTGTTTTGTACAGTACATGTTATTGTAGTCTTTCTAAGCAAAGTATCGATATTTGCATGTGTTTTGACTTATGGAAAATATATTTCCAAGCAGAAGTAAAAGTGCCTCACTAAACGATTACTCCTGCACACAAAAGTAAAGAAGTATAATGGAAACAAATTTGAATTAAAAAAGTAAAAGTGCTGGGAAACCCCTTTTCCAGGGTCTAATATTAAGCCTTCTTAAAGCCTGTATTAAACTGTCTGATTATTTATACTGTAAGCAACAGTGGGCTTCATATATAACACTATTCATAATATTATAATATGAATTCATACAAATAACAATTCAATTTATATTCATCTTACAATGCAAGGCATCTTACAATGCATACAAGCAATGTGTTTTAAATATATAAAAACGTGTGGTACACAAGTTTATTGTCTTGCTTTTTTTTAATCTCAAAAGTATAATGGCCAGTTTGTTCCTTGTACATACTCTTACTTGTGTTGTCTGTCCCTGCAGGGCTATCCAGGAGGAAGCCACCCACCACCCAGTGCTCCATACGGGGGGGCCAGCGGTCCCTACGGGGGACACCCCTCAGCCCCATATGGAGGGTCTCCACATGGAGGGTCCCCACATGGAGGATCCCCACATGGAGGGTCCCCACATGGAGGGGCCCCACGTCAACCATCAGCTCCTTATGGTGGCTATGGTGCCCCAGCTCAAGGAGCGCAGTATGGACAGGGACAAGGGGGTGCCCCCGCCGGGCATTATGGGGGTTACGGTGGACAACCGCAAGGAGGACATTATGCACAGCATGCTCCTGCAGGTGACTCTTAGCTGATACTGTATGTGGCTTCTGCCTGTGGGAGTTAAACAGGCATATTCTGAACATGAGGTGGCTTCTCTCTTTCCTCTTCTTCATCACTTCTCTCTCATTTTCCCTCCCTCTCTGCTGGGATGATGGATAGAAAATGACTTGCGTTCCCAGACCGTCATGTAGAGACAGGGTTCAGTTTGTGCCCCTCAGCAGGATTACACGGCTGGAGTGATGACTCTGGTAATACTGAGTGAAGGCTAAACAGAGTAAGAGACAGATAGGGTAAAGATTGTGTTGTGTGTGTGAGTACACGGTTTCCCGTAGCAGCTAAGCCTGAAAGCCAATGTTGTGATCACTCCCCACAGGGACAGATCCCATCAGGTTCTGGCCTAAATTGTCACCTGTCCCTCTCTACCCATTCATTTTTCTGACAATCAGCCCTCCCCCACTCCTCCCCTTGTCCTACACCATTCACTTTCTCTCAACCCTTGACCCTGCACCTACCTTTGCTTCACAACCTGCGCCTTATGAAACACTGAGACTGCTAAGGTTGGGGAAGTATTCTTTAAGAGAATCCAAACTGGTTTCACAACTTTTGAGATGCCTTATGCCATATGTTGCTGTTTTTTTCCATTTACTGGAAGATTATACAGTATTTTAGTTAAATTAATAAGATACGGGAATTTTTTTACATTCTATAGTTGTCGCAAAGCATTAATTCAACCTTGATCTCACACAATTGTAACGTTTTTTTCTGTTATCCACACATTCCTACAACAACCCAACACTGTATCAACTAATTGTATACTGTACTAAGCTGTATAATTACATTTGGCATTTTATTTTTATGTTTAGAGATACTGTTTTTTAAATCAGTGCTTTCTAAGCACCACAGCTTAAAGATTGAGTCAAGCACAGATTTATTATTTTTTGTGATCAATTTCCTGCTTGAGAGAGTCCCCGCAGCTTCGACTCTCAGGCAGAGTGTTTCTTCATCTCTCAATAAATAAATAATTGTTGTGCATCTGAATGAGGCAGCCGCTTCATTTCTAAGAAGCCTGAGAGTTTCAGTGAAATATTGACTTCTAAGAAATAGAATGACGGGAAGTAATAAAGAGAGTAAATAAAGCTAGTCCACTTGTAGGAAAACAGTGAGTAGTATGCTAGGAAAACAAGCTTGGAAAGAATGCTAAGAAAACAATCTTTTTGTGATGGGCATCTTTAGTTCGTCTGAGCCACCATCCAATAACTACTCTGATTGTTCCTCTCTCTAGCTAACATCCCTCCCGGTGTTGGCCAAGAGGCGTTCCAGTGGTTCCACACTGTGGACACGGACCGCAGTGGCTACATCAATCTGAAGGAACTGAAGCAGGCCCTCGTCAACTCCAACTGGTCTGCTTTCAACGACGAAACCTGCCTCATGATGATCAGTAAGTCACACAGTCAAATAACATGCCCTACAGTGTGAATGTGAAGTAGCTTTGTGTTGTTTAATTGTTGTTAAATTCTTCAATAGTGTTTCTTGAGGCAAAGTGACACAATGTTCAACTATGTTAAATACTTTAAGAGAGCTAAATGGCTAACAGCAAAGGTGAGGAAGAAGGTTTTTAGAGTGGAAACTCTGGACATAAGAATATAACACAACAAAAAACACACTGTTCACTGAAGTAAAACATTTGATGTCAGTGCAACAGTATAAGATACAGAAAACTTGCCTAAAGTAAGTCCAGAGCATGTGTGCTCATGTTGATCATTGCATTGGTGCATTGTCCCTTTTTAAATAGATATATATTACAATACAAATGTGTTTGAAGACTTTTTTCTCACCCAAAATAAACATTCATTTAGCAATTTAGCAGAGGACATTTAGACCTTTGTTGATTACATGTCATCCTGGGAGGCGTGTGGTGCAGTGGGTTGTGCGTTGTTGTTTGGATCAGGGGGTCACAGGTTCAAAACCCACTGCAGTCAGCATGTCGTTGTGTCCCTGGGCAAGACACTTCACCCCAAATTGCTCCTGTGGGGATTGCCCACAGTATTGAGTATGTAAGTCGCTTTGGATAAAAGCGTCTAACAAGTGATGTAATGGAATGGAAGTGATCTTTAACCTAGTCCAATATGATATACTGTAGCAACCCTCAGAAGAAAACCCACTGATAGCGCATAAACTCACATATCATATTACAGGTTATCCTATGAACTGATGGTAACATACAGTAAAGTTTACTTCTACATTATATAGACTAGAAATTCCGGTAGACAGTAGTCAGCTTAAATAACGACTGAGTCATGTTGTCTTGTTGTTTGTTACTGTAGCTGTGAAGGTATCCTGACATTCCAATTGTTTTTGGCAGTGACAAATGTTTCCTATGACCTTTAACGAGAAATGTGTGACTCCTGTGTGCTACTTTCAAGAAATTCAAAAAGAAGTTCCATGATGGAGGACTTCCTGGAAACATTCTGGAAATGCATTTCGCCTTGAAAGAACGGGGTAAACTATAACGACGTGCTGTGCTTTGTGTTTCCTTTCAGACATGTTTGACAAGACGAGGACGGGCCGAATGGACATTTTTGGCTTCTCTGCACTGTGGGAATTCATGCAGCGGTGGAGGGGGCTCTTTCAACAATTTGACAGAGACCGCTCAGGCTTTATCAGTGGCACGGAGCTACACCAAGGTACCCTCATTTGTGTGTTAATAATGCTACAATTAAGTTGGATATGGAATCATTTTGTAAATGAAAATGACCATAATAGAGTGGTGCAGTGATGACGTATTTTTGTAGGCCGACCTGGAAGTAAGCTGCGCAAGGGTTCCCTCAACAAAAAAGCAACAGGATTTCTCCATAGGATTTTGGAATATTGTAAAAAATAAGATCTGTGGAAAACGAACCTGTTTGATAAATGTACGTTTTGTTCAGCCGGATAATCTCCACATGTCTACCCTACTTTTATAATTTTCGAATCATAAATCTAATCGCCAGAAGCAAAATGCT